ATATATATATGCACATACACACACACACCGTACGCAGGTATTGTGTTTTATACATGCATACATGCCTGCATGCGTGCATGCATGCATACGTAAAAAGATGGATCCGCACATACATACAGACATACATAATTACATACAATATACATGTGTGTGTGCAATGTATGCAGACCTGCATGATGCATGCATGCATGCATGCATGCATGCATGCATGCATGCATGCATGCATGCATGCATGCACCTATTTATGCATGTGTTTAAGCATCGCCAGACACAACACACTTGCACTTGCATCCGTCAATCCATCGACCCATCGATCCACACCATGCATGCCTGCCTGCATGCATACACTTGCTCATACACACAATGCAAAAGTGCCGACATACATATGTATATGTATGTATCTATACACACGAACAGACACACACGCATACATGAATACAAGCATGCATACATACATACATACATACATAATGCTGCATTACATATCATGAACCCATACATACACACGTACATAATCACATACTTACATACATACATACATACACATACATACATACATACATACACACATACATTACATTACATTACATTACATTACATTACATCACATTACAGTACAGTACCGTACCGTACCGTACCGTACCGTACAGTACATACATACATACGTACATACATACATACACAAATACATGCATACGTTACATCCGTCCATCCATCCGTCCGTCCATCCATCCATCCATCCATAAACACAAACATACATTATGTCCATCCACCCGCCCGTACATATATACATAGATGCATGCATAAATACATATATACATGTGTGCATACATACATACATACATACATACATACATATATATATATGCATGCATGTGTCTGCATATGCACATACATACGTGCATATAGATCCCATCGACTCGTTTCTTGTGTCAATAGAGCTGCTGTCCTTTATCCAGTCAGGAAGTCCAGGGTTCGTAAGGTCCTGTTGTAAGGTACGGAGATTTTGTGGGTTTGTGCAGGCCGTTATGCATAGCATGGGCTGCAAGTACCTTCTTGGCAAGCATTTGAGCCTTCGGTCTCATTGCTTTGGGCTCACCTGGGTAAGCAAGCCAAGGGTTCTCTACAGCCCTGGTAGCGATTTTTTTTCAGGTCGCATGATGTGAATGTTAGAGGGACCATCTATATGCACTTCCCAAAGCCCGAAACACAGAGCCAAAGCATTGCCTACGTCGGCAATGTGCTTCTGTTTGATCTTTGACCCCGAGGCCTAAAGGGCTGGAGCCTAAAACGATAAGATCGTAGCTGTGAGTCCTAAACCCTATGGGCAGATAGACATGGGTATACATCTTGCTTCTGGAAACATGTGTACTTGGCAGCTGTGAAAACATGTATATGTACAATCCAAGCGCTTCTCTCTGGTCTGGGACGTTGGGCCCCCTCCCCACCACACACCTTGACCCGGCCGCAGGCCTCCACGCGCGAGCTTTTCTCTTATGAGGCTCAGGGTTCAAGACCTGTAGATGACTCAAACCTGTATGTTCATCAAATCAACTCCACGGGGTGATAGGACTAGACAGAAGTGTCCAGCCCCAAGCGGCCTAGTCCCAAGAATGCTGCACAAAGTGCATCCCGGAAGCATAAGGCTTCGTCAGGCCCTCAAACCCAAAGGCCCGAAAGATCCGAAAGGCTGGCTTTCCAAGTCCAGGTTTCAGCAGTTTGGGAAATGTGGCGTTATACCCTAAAGCCTACCATCCCAGAAGCTATAGAGTTCAAAATGTGTAGGATTGTGGACCTAAGAAGCTCTTGAACTCTTGGAACTAAGCTTGCGTTCTAGGACCTACGGTTGATGATATAAATCCTGCATTACCCATAGTATGGATATATTCCCCTAACCCTCCAGGTACCTACTATATAGGGCCCTAGGGGCTCCAGTACCCTATATAGTAGGTACCTGGGGGGTTAGGGTTCCATAATTTGATAAGGCGAGGTGGGGATCGCGGTGCTCGGGTTCAAGACACGTACCTGAAGCAAAACGGGATCGGTTGTTTATTGGGATTACAAGGCCAGACTTGCCTCAAGCTTGTACTTGGCTGCATTCCTTCAAGTGGACTAGAGACTATCAGCCAAGACAGAGGAGGACAGGTTTGCCACGCCGAGCGGACAAGCAGTGAAGAGGAAAGAGAATCATTAAGGCATAATGTTCACGGCGCACACCATCTGGTTTAGTTTGTTGCCACGTTGGGCACTTAGAACGGAACCACGGCGATGAACCCGGGGGGGCGGAGACAGAGGTCTAGGGCAGAGCCTGAGGTTCAGGAGTTCACTGAGGGTGTTGTTCAGGATGTGGTTCGGGTCTGGTCCGGGTACATAGTAATTATTAGTAAGTACAGTAGTTTTTAGTCGAGTTATAAGTACCATAACCTCAATCAGGATCCCTTTGAGGGTACTTATGACTCTACTTATTACCTACCTACTCAGTCCCCCGACCCCCCAAGCAGAGCATTCTAGAGCTGGAGACTCCCCCGCTTCCTTCTCAGGGCTTCTTCACAGAACCCGAGCGCTTCTGGCGCAAGACGGCGGAGCTGTTCAACGGCCGCAAGCCTACCAAGGCCTTACCTGGACCCCCAAAGTATGTAGAAAAATAGCCTTTTTTATGGGTCTTGGGCCATTATTTTGCCTACTTTTGGGGGTTCAGGTATGCACTCACTGGAAGAATCATGCCTGGGTTGTGATTGCATGGTTATGTGCGGATATGGTATCAGCACTGTTGTTCAACATCATTCGTGGTAGCCTCACTCTTACAGTGACCACCATCATAAGCAGTGAGACTCCGAGTCCTTTGTGCATGACCGGAGACTGTGAGTCTGTGAGCGAGCCTACCAGTGAAATGCCAGCCAAAGTACGTAGTGGGATGCTGTCTGTTTATCCGTATTTATTTGTACTATAGACTTATAGTAAGGAACCCGGCAGATGCAGGTGCATGCTCTGCTGGCTCATCTGGAGAAACTTGTCCTGACATCCGTAGACGTCCGTATTCTTGCCGCAAGTCTGGACCGCTGTGCAGAAGCTGTGACGCAAGCTCCTAGCAAAGCCCCCCAAGCGGATTGTGTTTAACTCGTCGACCCGAGACTAAACTCTAAACACAGTATTGTACCAACACCCGGAGCGGTTTTGGGAGGATTGATCCCATTCACTTCCAAACTTCCAGCTGTTCAGGCCTTTTTTGGATATATTGGGTTGAGGGTCTGGGTCAACACGATCTCAGCCGAACAAGGCGACCAAGTTGAGACGGGGCTTGTTCTTAAATGTCAAGACCCAGCTTTGGTCAGAGTTCTTACCCTTGGATTTCAACTACGGAATCAGATTTATACTTGAAGAAGGAGGCGATTTTTCGTCGGTTTCAGTTCCTCCTGGCAGCTCTAGCCTGCTCTGAATAACTCTCCGAGTGTTGGACCTTTAGTGATGTCGTAACCACCACCCAAGGGGTCCATGTGCCTTTTATGGTACTTGGGCAAGTACAGTTGCCATAGTAATTACCCCACTGTGCACAGGAACACCTTGAAGGCAGAAGTACGTAGCATCTAGGTACATGGCCCGTTATTCGAGCGACAACATGTTCCTGGGTCCTTCAGAATTGGATTGAGCCTACGCTAAGTTGAACTTGGGCGATTGATCGTCCCTAAACCCTAAACTACACCCTTAACCGCATTGATCGCCCCACGTTCTCGGATACCTTGGAGCACCACAGGCAGAAGGGCATCCTCCTGCGCGTGTACACCCAGAACATCGATGGCTTAGAGCACGCCGCTGGTGTGGCTCGTTTTGGCAGTCTGGAGTTGAGTGCGTGGCAGCAGACTTGCCAGCTATAGCAGCTATAGACCCCCAAGACCCCCATCTAGCAGCTAGACTTTGCATCTCGGTCGGTATCAAGGAGCCTGTGGGTAGCATAGTTTCCCGACAGAGCTCTCTCCGTATCCGGAGCTGTGTGAAGAAGCATAAACGCGGTGGCCAAGATTGCTATAGAGTCGCTCTCCTAGTAGCTGAGAAGCCCTCCTCCCTCAACGTGCTTTGGAATAGTCGGTATTTCTCTACTGTGTCCCTACAAGAATGAGTGATCGATGTTGATCCTGAAATTCTATTGGGTGGTCGTGTGCTGATTGTCTTGTCTAGTATTTCTAGCTACCGTCGTCGTACGTTCATTATTTTGCTTTTTGCTGCTGTTATATCGTGAGCCAGCTAGACAATATTCTTCTTGTCATTCAAGCAGGAGCACAGAGTATTCTTGCAAAAGGCTTCGGGCTCTTTGGATCTACGCACAAGTTCAGAGCCGCCCCTAAAGCCCCCAACGCATTCGAATCTTCGTGTATTTGAGGGTGGATAGCAAGGCCGAGTTGAACCTGGGTTTAGGGTAAAGGGTTTAGGGCTAAATCCGGTTGACTCCCATTGACACCCTTTGGGGGGTGCCCAATTCCCGGCAGACTTTGTGCAGGTCTCGGCGGACCGTATCATTGAGTGCCACGGCACCACGAGTCGGGTCGTTTGCTCCAAGAACCGGCAACATGCAATTGACGGGCTCACTGCTTCGGAAGTAGCGGATGATGTTTTGCAGGGCCACGCAGCTCCACGATGTCATTGCGGTGCCCTGGTTCGACCAGACATTGTCTTCTTCGGGGAGCCTCTTCCACCAAAGTTCCACAGCTGTTCTGGCGAAGACTTGGCCACCTGTGACCTGCTGATGGTCGTTGGCACGGCCTTAAGCGTCTATCCGGTGGCAGGGCTCGTGAACCGAGTCCCAGCCTTGACCCCCCGACTGCTTATCAATCGGGAAGCCGTGGGTCCGTGGAAGGGAGCAGAGGAGAATGCTGAAAACTACAGGGATGTGTTCTTTGAGGGTGAATGCGATCTAGGTGCAGAGCTTCTGGCCCGCGAACTATCCTGGCCCTTGTGACATCCTACGCCAGGATCTTGTGGCTGACACCGGTACAGTGGTGGTCGAGCCGTCTTGGTGGAAGAGCAGAGAAGCTTCTGGAGTTGCCGGGCATCGGTTTCGCCGTATCGCCTTTGGTCGCAGGCTGCCGCAAGGTGGTGGCTTGACAGGAGCTTGCTCTGGGATCGTCGTGTACAGTCATCGACGAGTGTGAAAAGCCGGCCCAGCTTCTTCATGTCATAGGCGTTTAACTCATGGGCATGAGGAATGAGGCCGGGTCTTGAGGCCCTTGCCTTTCTAGGCAGTACCGCGCTTTGGGTTTTTTCCCGTAAACCAAGATTTGCAATAGTGTCTTGCATTTAGGATTCATGGCTGAGGGTCTTTGTCCTGAAGCGAAGCAACCCTCCTCTAAGAAGCAGGTAGTCAGTGAATCAGTACAGGCTCTGCATCTCCAAACTGCCAGACCCACAACACAACCACCACCACTGCCAGCAGCAGCAGCAGCAACAGCAGCAGGTGGTGGAACAACAGCAGCAGTAGCAAACACCACCGCCAATAGCGTCATTCTCAACATCAGCGACGACACTTTTGAGCAAACCGAGAAACACATGAGAAGTATCAAAGCATTCATGTACAACAGCAACATAACATAAAGTCATCAATTCTGAACACCACTGTTGCAGGCCGCCACTTGCGGCTACGAGGGGCCCTCGCGGGAAGCTGAGTTTGGGGGCGCCCCAAGCCAAGTCGTCGGTATAAGTTCTGACTTCGAGGTCCCCAAGTTGATAATGTAGACCTGACGAACACGCCAAGCCCCCTTCCAGTGATTGCCTGACGGGGTCACCACGCGAATCTGATGTCCCCTATAATTTTAATAACTTAATAAGGCTTTCGCCTAGCTGCCGCACCAGAAAGTGATGCAGTCATGTGGGTTTGGGGGTTGCGTTTAAGGTCCCAGCAAATGAGACAGGCACTACGTGCAGCCATCGCCGTCCCTGTGGCCCTCTATCTCGGGTCCTAAAACCTGTATTCCTGCAGTCAAGTCGCCAGGCTTGCTTTGAACTGACGCCTGAGCTCTCATGAAGTCCGACGGCTAACAGAACCTAACACTCACACAAACATTAGACCGCACAGACTTCGGGAGTGGGTGTTGAAACGGCACAGTCCAGCAGGTGCATGAGTGAAGCACACGCGTTAAAACCCCGGGTGCCTCAGGCATGCACGGAAAGCGACGACAATTGTTTGCGGCTCATGGGCTGTCCTCTATACCGGGCTGCTCCTGGAGTTAGGGTGTAGGTCTTTGAGCCGGTTTCAGAGTTTGTGGTCTTTGCTGGTTGATGGGTTTAGGAGTGTATTCCGATTGTTGTTTCACGGCGGGCCGCAAGTGCAGCCCTTCAATCACGCTTGACGTATCGAGTTTCTGGGAGAGAGTGCGTGAGAGGAGTGTGGGCTTCGGGATTTATTATGTATTATGCGTGTGTGCACGTGGTTTGCTTTTTGGAATTTGCATTTGGGGTCTTTACCCTGCAGCTCAGACATGCTGCAGAGCCTTCGTTTTGGAGCTGTAGAATTTCGTATTTCATCCTGGCTGTGCAGGGCCATGGCCCTGAACCCAAAGACTCATGAGCCACCAAAAACCCACAATCTAGAACTTCGCCACAACACACACCAGCAGAATACGATTCATCATGATTCCAAAGACCTGTGTCCATTGATTTCAACCCCCCCCTGCCGCACCATTCGTCGAAGCAATACAGACGACCCCATCAGATTTAGGGTGACACAGAGGGTGGTGCTGCCAGCCCTGGGCAGTGTTCTGTCAATGCCTGATATGCCGATCGTCATGGTGGTGATGTTGGTGTGGGGGCGACTACTTTTGCCAGCATGTTCAGCCTCAGCATCGTTATCAGCGGGGTCATCATCGCCATCATCGTCATATGTTTGTAGCTTAACTACGCGTGCGTTGCTTGGACTTCGTGCTCCCACCCTAGCTTCACCGCTCTTCCGCTCAAACAGCTCTGCAAGGCTACTGCCCGCGACCGTGCGAGCCTCAAAAGTGGGTTGCGGTGCCTTCTCGCTGCGGCCTGTATATCGCATCCTAGGGCTGTTGAACCGCAAACAGTGTTTGGTTGCGGGAACTGCAGAGTCTTGCATCGTTGTCGAGTTTGTTCTTGCTTTGCGCCATTTTGCGCCGCTTCAGATTGCACAACGGTGCCGGACTGGACATGAGGGACCTAAATGGAGTTGCGAGGTGAGACGAATATATAGGTTGTGGAGGCTGCTTAGGCATGCTGAGCCTGACACACGAGACGAGGCGTAGCGTGATAGATGAGTGGTTCAAGTTGTGCCACTGGCGAATGCACGAGAAAGTCCTGGTGCAGCAGCCCAAAGATACGGATTCCAAGCCCGCAGCTTTGGTCACAAAATACGAACAACAACCAAATGCTGGATGCGAGTACGACTGACCGGCGAGTAAACTTCAAGCCTAAAAACCCCTAAACCCTAAACTTAAAGCCTAAATCCCTAAGCCCAACGTTTCGATTCCTTGCCCGAAGGCAGCCCGCGGGCGTCGAAGCCTGTCATCCCAGGAGCTTCCGATTCCGTCTACCCCACGGCTCCAGTTACTGAAATAATTTGTTACTGGGTTATATATTTCATGGGGTAGTAACATATCATCATATCATTATGTATTTCATGGCTAGTACAACCTACTATTTAAAGTAATAACAACATTTAGGCATTCATGCCACTGTAGGTGCTAAGTCTTGTTGGGAGTTGTCGATTTCAAGATATCATGTCAGGTATGTGTCATGCAGGCAGGATTTGCTGCTTTTCTGTTCATGATGCTTGATGCTTGCGTTTTGCTCAGTGTTGTCTATGTTTATACTGTTATACTCATACTTGCATGAAGGTGAAGTGTGCATCTGTCCGTAGTTGACTGAGCATGTATGTACCGGGCTCGGACATATGTGCAGTGAGGCCGAGAGGCACGGCAATGCAGAGACAGATGCGCAGGCGGACAGGCAGAGAAGTCGAGAAGAGAGAAGTGCCCTCTCTCGCTCTTCCGCTCTCTCTCTCTCTCTCTTTCTCTCTCACTCTCTTTCTATTCTCTTCCATGCCATACACCGGCCACTACAGACTTAACAGTAGCCGGGGGGAGATCACATCTCGTGTGTGTGCTGCTGTCATCGCCAGGCGAATTCGTCTGTCACTAGTCGCTAGTCACCGCTAGTCCTGGTGGCGTTCCGGTTGCTGCAGGGAGCCACAGAGACCTCAATCGCGACTTACACTTACACGTCGCAGGCACCCCACCTGCCACTCAACCTGCGCGCATGTCGAGGACCTTCGAACGATGCATGGGCGAGGGTCCTGGTGGTCCGGGGGAATCGGTTTGCATGCGATGCTTTCAGTCTCAAGCTTAATTAAGGTGTATCAATGTCCACTGCGCATTGTTCGGGATGCGTGGTTCTGCAGCAGCGGTTTGTCTCGATTCTGCATCTCCTTCCTCGTGCTCCTCAGAAAGGGCCCTTGTCTGCTTGATTTCGACGTAGGCAGTGTCAGGCAATGTCTCTACTACCAAAGACTGCCAAAGACCGATCGACGTTAAAATAAGGTGTATCGGTAAATCACAGTTGCATCACGTGCCGCTGCCCTAAAACCCTCAAACGCTAAATCCCTAAACTCTAAAACCCGAAACCTCTAAACTCCTATACATCCTTGAAAATCCACTAGACGCTAACACCACAATACCCTAAAGCTCTAAAACCCTAAACCTAGACCCTTGAACCCAAAAACCCCTAAAGTCGATTTCTCAAACCCTTTGACGATTTGAGGGTTTAGGGGTAGACGGGCTAAAACTTTGAGGTGTTCGGGACCTTCAGGCGATTGCACGATTTTAGGATTTTAACAGTTACCTTTCTGATGGCGTGCTGTCCTAGTCCACCCCTGAATTGCTCGAGGTTTGCATGTTGAATTTGAGAATTTTAAAAGGTTACTCCACTATGGTCCGCATGACCTGTGCGTACGCTGCAGCAGGTGCATGTCGCAAGTTGCATGTGGACTGCATGTCCGCTTGAGAATTAAGACTGCGAGACACTGCATGTGCAGGGCCGTATGGCCCCGTGCTGTGCTCTCGTCCCTTGTGTGCTGGTGCATGAGCATGTACAATGCGAAACCTCAGTAACCTCGCCAGGCTTGTCCCTGCTATGGGTATTGCAATCCTTGACACAACGTCCAACAAGAATCCTCAAGATCTATACACCCTGAAAACCCTGAGCCCCTCTGTTCAGCCTCTGTTTCCAAAGCTTCTGAGGCGGAGGCCATGGAGCGATGGGAGCAAGAGCTCGGCGGGCTGCGGCGATGGAAGGATGAAGCTTGGGCCTGCGGAGATGGGGTTCCGTAAGCGCTTCGCAAGAGTTGTGCAAGGCTTTCATAAGGGTTTGTGTAAGGGCTGGCACGAGCATTCTGGAAGCCGTCTGAACAAGCTTTCACTGGTCACTTAGGGTACCTGAACCCTTCCGAGCCGTGCACCCCGAACCTCAAAAAAGCAAAGACTTGAGTTGCCCCGAACCTGCAATCCTGAAGACTTCGTACATGCCTCGATACCCTAAACCCCTAAAGCCCCTAAGCCCTCATCCTGTGAGCCTCTAGACCCTTAGCCGCTGAACCTCTAAACCGCAAAACCTGCTCGAAACTAAACGAAAAAACCTTCAGAGCCTGTGCACCTTCTAAGACCCTGTCGTAAACCCTAAGTTTGTCGTTCTAGCTAGGCTGCTGGCGCCGTGCAACGGATGGCGGATGGCCTCCGCGCTCTTCGGCAAAGGCCAGGGTTGTGGTGCCCAAGGCGGTAATGTGACTTTGGTTTGGACGCCTGAGCAGTTAGCTACACATGTTGCTCCATTGGATTACTCACTCACTCTCCCACTCACTCACGCACTCACTCACTCACTCTCACCCGAACAATAACTCTCACTATCACTGCCACTCTGACTTTCACTTTCACTCTCACTCTCTCTCGCTTT